TGGGTGGATGCTATTTAAGTTTTGTCCCCATGCTCTACCCATTCCCACCGAGTTATGATTTTTTTTGTGACACGGAAAGCGCCGCCCATATTAAGTACCCTCCGCCCTTTTCGGGTGTGTCTCCTGCATTTGCTCTGTCAGCCCGTTGTTAACTTTACTGTACTGCTCCCCCTCTCGGGACTGCTCTGGAACCGGGTTATGATTTTTTGTGACACGGGAAGCGCCGTCGTATGTCATCCCATGTCTTAATTATGGCCTCCAGATTTGGAGCGTTACACGGGGAATTTGCAGGTGAAGACTGGAAAAGTTCAGCAAGTTTCTACACAGATGTCCCGATGTTATACTAACCCTGTCTACCAGCGCTCTTTACCCAATAACCATGACAACCTATTTCGCTTCACTCTAAAAACATTACCGTACCGAGTATTTAATGATGTTATTTTCTTTTTCATAATACTGACAGGGCGCTGAGATTGAAGCTGCGTAAACATAGCGTATTCGCGGCAAGTGAAGACCACACAACATTCTTAACTCTGCATGAATCTGAATTAAACGTAGCCAATCAAGCTCATGCTGCTTGGTGTCGTTTGTAATTAACTCAAATGTAATGGAGCGCACCTCTGCGTACATGACAAACAAACGAATAAATGCTTGAATATTATATCACCTATGTTACTTTAGTTCTGACAGCAAACGTGATACAAATTGAAGTTGCACTCTGGCGCTGTTACCTCTCCACCTTGCCAGTGATGAGTAGACATTTCTACTCCGCTGCCTGGACGGTCACCAAATGCTTGGAAACGGCTTTCTTCAGATTTCTGACATTCGCTTTGTTTAGCGACCTTATGTCTCGCAGTCTCGAAGCGGTTGTAGTCATCCTTAAATGAAGTAATTAAGGTCCAAAGCCAGAGCATTTTGGAATATGTCAGTCCACGGAAGACAGCTCAGTTTTGAATGCTATTATTTTTTAATACAGTGACGAATGGCGAAAAAGTATCGCACGTTCACAGAGTGTTGTTCTGTCCATGGTTTCTTCTCAACCAACAAGGAAAGGATGGTTAATCGAACTGACCATTTAAAATAAGATGTATACCGACAAACGCATCTTTGGGCACTGACTGTCAGGTAATCTTAAGGTCCCGTAATTTCCTGTACCTGGTTATGCCATGTTCATAGGTTTATTGCATTGCCCCTTACACAAATCGATGCATGGTCGACCTTGGGCAGTCGACTATGCCTGTATTGATCGGCTCCGGCACGGCGGAGCCCCTAGCGTGGGAAAGGTCACTCAGTGACCAATCAAAACACTCCACGCCCAATGGGCGGAGCGAAGGGCGCTATATAAGCGCGAGGAGGCCGTCGCGGAGCGCACTTGGTGAACTGTCCTCAAGAGTGACCCCTCACTACTACTACTACCAGCAAGACAGTGTATAGCTTTTGGCAAGCTATAGGGCTAGACGTGACTTTCCTAGCCCAGTCGAGTGGTCGGCTTCGACTAAAGTAAGCACCGCAGGATACGGACGGTATCCTGATAAGCCCCGCCTCCTCCATTGGGCGCATCCACACTCCCATGCATTCGGGCTCAACCGCGTGTCGAAGCCGCAGGACTCATAGCCCACGTGTACATATATTGTGTGTGTACCTATAATAAATATTATATTGGACCTTGTAATCGCGACGACTAACGGTTCAAAAGCCGCAATATATCTCGCATTTATTGTCTTGTCTTCGGGGTCATTGAAACTGTATAATGTCAACCGCAGCCACCTCTCCGCAGTGCCCACAGCGTCCTCCGCTAAGGGCGGGATGGTCGCTGCGAAGAGGCAAGGACCTGACATGATATCAAATCTGCACTGGATATCTGCTAAAGGATCCTCTGGGCAGAGTTACGCCGGTTTTTTTATCTGCTCACACTCATTCTCATCATGTATGAAAGGTCGATAAAAACCCACGGATTTGCTATAAAAACCCCCGGTGCTTCGAAAAGTAACACTACAAGCATTTTTCATAAAAAATACCGTGTTCGCGTCTCGGCGTTGTCGCTTATTTTGAGCCAATGTGGCGCTAAAAAGGGTGAGGGTGTGCAGGAGCTCGTAGTGCATAACGCAACAGTTTTGCGCAGAACAAAAGCTGTATTCATGTTCTAGGAATCAAACTAGCCACAGGGTCAAGTTCAAGTTTTCAGCAAATTCTGAATTTCGACCAAACTTCGAAACAATGGGGGGAGGGAAACAATGGGGGGGGGTAACCTTGGGCAATACATCATCTAAGGTAGCTGGCACAATCCCCGATTAGAATCCCAATGAAAAATGGGAGATTTTTCGCTAAATTTTCAATCCTTGTGGGTAAATGTCGGTGCTGATCACAAATATGACATTATTTTTTGTATCCATGCTACTCGACAATCTGACGATACCACGTAAAGTAACTAGTGACGTCGACGGAAGCACCGTTCAGAAGTTCCTCTAGGAGTCATCCAGAATGGGTATACAATGAATGGGCTTGTTGGAAAAGCTCAATATATTTGTTCAGATGCAACATTTATCGGTAAAATTAGGTGCCCTAGCTATAAAAGTGGTTTTGAAACGTGAAGAGAACACTTTGGAAAGATTAAAACAAGGCACTGCTCACCAGGGTACGCCATCGCGTTGTGATAAATTTCTGCCGAATACGACCCCCTCCCCTTCTAGGAAGGATTTTGATACGACCACCCCCCCCCCACCCTGTCCGCTGCTAATCAAATAGCAGCGGACAAACAAACAACGAAGAAAAGGAAGTTCTGCGAAAATAAGTGACAAAAAAGACGCGACGTTAATCAAAGAGATGTGAGAAACACGATGAAAATGAGCCATAATAAGTCACAAAAAAATAATCGAAATAATAAATCATAAAAGAATCATAATCTTTCCATTCCATTCCATTCCATTAAACCAGTAACTTTGTGCATCGGTGTGTATGTTTGTATGTATGTTCCGACAAAACATTGTTGAGTTGGATGCTTCTCTCAAGATACGGCGCTTATTCCGATCGGGCAGCAAAGGAGGATGTCCAGAGCTCTTCTCAACTCAATATCCTGTAGGTTCCTTGACAAAATTGTTGATAGCATGATAAGTGCGGCCCAAATCCCGTGCGATTTGACGGTTCGACAGTCCTTGAGTCTTCTTTGCGATAATCTGTTCTTTTTCGAAGTCCAATAATGGACTTCCACTCGCCAAAGCCTAGAAAAGGCAAAAAGTCATAATGATGAGAAGTTTTACCTAAGTAAAAATGAGTGCAGCGGAGAAAATATGCGGTGGAACTATCATTTTGCAACATTGTCAGGTCGACCTTTTTTCAAAAAATTGAAGAAAAAAGTCATTCTTCTTGGTTTTAATATGTGAATTGGTATTGGTAATTACCACATTTTCTGTATGGGGCATTTTTGAAAACGTCGTGTAAGACGGGATTTTGTGAGATTCATGGGTGGAACTATGATGCTTCGCAGTGTACTCGTAGAGCATCGATTCGGCCAAGCGTGGTTCACCAAACTCCGTAACTTTGTCCGGAGAATCGTTTAGCAGGCTTGGAAGACAGATTCGAAAAGAGTGTCGAGAGATGCGTGGGTCGGTATACATCTCATTACAAATGACCACTTCAACTTCGACCAACCACCCTCTCCTTGGTAAAAACGCCAGCAGAGTGGCGGGGCTACGGGAAGCTTATAGACTCTGCAGCGGTCTGCGCCTTACATTTTTATTCAGCGTGCGACACCGTGCGCGATAAGTGTTGCGGCTAACATTTTGTCAACCGTAGTTCATGCTTGTCTGAAAATTATAAATTAATGAAAGCGTTGAAAAGATTGACTTGAAATAGGATGCTGGCAGAGACAAGGGGTAACGACGCACATTTTATCATCTAGTAATTGTTGTCAGGTTAATGTGGAGCCATTCTTGTCAAGGGTAGCAGCGTAACAGATGCTTCCTGTTTTCGATGTTTACTGTTTTCCATTCTTCTGTTGCTGTCTCGCTTTTCGTTTTAAACGAAAGAAAACGGAGCATCCTTCTACTGGAAGAGATTTCCGCCGGGAACAGCACTTAAGCCATCTGATGTCGTCGCTGGAGTCCAAGCCTAAAGGCAATTCCTGCGACAGCACTTCATGACAGAGATTGAAAATGGAATTGTCGTGTGTTTGCTGACTTGCTGAACGAGAAGGAAGCTCGACAAACCGCCAGCAATTAAACCCTCTTTCTTGCATTTGATCGTGATCTTAGGACGACCATAAGATGGTCAAGATCAATTGCGAATTGCAAAAGGAGACGATACACTGACAGAGACGAGAGAGGCCAGAAAACGACGGGCGAGAGAGCGCAATGGCAGTGTCGCAACGACACGGGCACCCGAGGCCGATATGGGCCTATTGGATATGGGACTACAATCGAGGCGCCCAGCTTTCAAACTTTTGCATACAGTACAGCCTCTTTGGGTGCCTACCTGGTCATCGTGCACGTTTAGGTTTTGGCCTTAATTGATCGCGGACTGCGTCTTTAATTTTCTTTGCGATCAGCACACTCGAGTAAGCATCACTATATGCACGAAGGAAAGGCGAAGCACGCGCCACCTATCATTTAGTTTCCGGGACGCGCATGCAGACTATTTTTATTCAGAATCGTAGTAGCTTGCTGATTGCGATATCACCTATGCAATGACTTGCGGAGGCCGCCTGATGAACAAGACACTGTTCCTCCAAAAGAAACCTGGTACCACTTCACGGTTCTAAAAGGGTACAAAGTCTGATCAGTCTGGAGGGAGGAGCTTACCCGAGATTGAACCCCCATGCCGATCGCGTCGTAAGAGGGCACTGGCTACTACAGCACCTCTGTCTCATGCATACTCTCCGTAGGCGCGGTAGGCAAGGCTGCGTTATTCACTTGAACGTGGCGTAAGATTGGTGTAGTCGTAGGCGAGCGACGGTTGCAACGAATTGATCCGTTGCAACCGTCGCTTTTCCATAACATCCGTGAACGTCGTCCAAATGATCTGAAGGTTAGACCATCCGATAGCACTGTAAACGGCAATTCCAATAATGCATGGCTCTCCCCGTTCCCGACAATTTTCTGGTGTCTATCTTGAGCAGATTGAAGACTGAGTCACTACCTGAGGTGTTACCTGCTACATCGCAACCTTCCAGTCCAGTTCCATTTTGATACATTTCGAGACAGGGTTTCAGCAAAGTTCGGTCAAAAATTATGGTTCAGTGAACACATTTTTTTTCTGGATTTCCGACTTTGATAGGCTATTTCATGATTTCGAGAAGAAAGTTATTTGGTACCGCCATTTCATAGAATTTAATTTCTGTGGAACGAAAACGTGAAACCCTTCAGAAAAGACGAAATACCCTAACCAAAGATAAACACTATTCGCCTATATAAATTTCTATTCTGATAATAGTCACCTTTTCCTACTTCACTATTTAACTGATTAATCATTGCTCCACCACCGGTTGAACCCTTGCTATCGGTCACTACTAGCCCATTGCCTCTAATGCAGCCAGGTCAGTACTTAGATGAGAGAAAACTGGCGAGAACATGCTTTGAACTGGTTAGTGCTCAACAATGCTAGAATGAACTATATATGGTGTTGCGTCAGGAAGAACATATGTCCACTTCCATGGAACCACTCCACTATTACGACCCAAATTCTCAATTTCTTCTTTTTAAAATTCAAACATTAACGGTGGGGTCGGTGGGGCCACCGTTAGATATTGCTCTGCGGCAGACCTACGATCTATAGGACTAAAGAGTATGAACCCTACAAAAATTCTTTTCTTTTGAACGTGCTTGTTTTTTGACGAATCTCCTGTTGAGTATAAAACGATAGGTCCTATGAAATAACGTTCACTAACATCCGTGTCTGCTCTCAGATAAGACACAGTACA